ATATATATATATATATATATATATATATATATATATATATATATATATATATATATATATATATATATGTATACAATTTCTTCATAAATATCTTAGAAATATTCTTTATAATAAATGTATGATAAAATAAATTATATAAAAATATTCTAAATAATATGTAAAACAATTTATAAATAATTTATCATGTTGAATGATAATTGTTCTTCATAAATAAGAACAAATTTTTAAGGAAGACAAAATTTTATTATAGAAAATGATATATATATTTAAAAAAAATAATTTATAAAATAATAAAATTGAGAAGAAAAAATTTAAAAATACCGCTGCATCTACATTAGCAGGTGATTCTAAATTTGGTTCGTTAAGCATAGAAATTACACTAACTAAAATACCTTCTACTGACCATATTGGTCTCCACCTTTCTTCTGGTTTTTCTTGTTCATTATAAATATCAACTCCTTTTTAACCAAAAAAAAAAAAAAAAAAAAAAAATTAATTATAAACATTAATTTTTATTTTCTTATTATATGTTTTTTATATTTAAATATTTTTTTCTTTTATTTACCAGGAGGGTGTAATATACTAATACATACTCTTCCATCAGGAAAAACTAAATAAACAAAATATATATGTATATATATATATATGAAATATAACTTATTTAATTTAAAATATTTTTTAACCATTTGGATGCCACATTTCTTGGGTAAATTTCATTTGGGGAGGATGATTAGGAAAGTCTGATGGAAAAGAAAGTGTGGCATTATAAATACCTCCTATAAAAAAGAATATGTTAATAATTAAATATTAGTTTATTTGTATTTATTAAATATTTCAATTTTTTATATATACAATATTTCCTATATTTTTAAATTCTTAACCTTCATAGAGTGTATTCTTGGGTCCTTCAAAACATACATTCCATTCAAAAAAATTAGATTCATCAACTAACCCAACAGAAAAACCAGCATTATGATCCCTTGTTAATTCTATTATTATAAACACATATATTTATATATATATAAAATAAGAACATTATATTAATATATATATTTATGCTTTTTAGTTTTTAAAAAGAAAATTATAAAAATACCAAGAAATTGCTTTTTTAGAAGCTCTCTAGCTATATTCGCCATTTTTCTTTTAAACGGATTAAAAATAGAAAAAAAAAATACAAAAAAAAAAAAAAAAATTTAGTTTATTTTTTATTTAATTTTAAATATTTTAAAGAATAAAATCTTAGTTGAATTGTACTTGATTAAATAAATAAGTTTTTTAAATTTAATTTTTTTATATATTATTAAAATTCATTTAATATATGAAAATTTTCTTTGAGAAAAAATTTAATCATTTAAAAAAAACAAAATCCAAATAAATATTAAAAAATGTCCAAATTTTTTTTTTTTCATTCATTTTTTTTTATTTTTTAATTTATTTCTTTTGTTATTTTATACTCATAATTTTATCATGTGGTAATTTTTTTATTTTTATTATTTGTACTTTTTTTTTTTTTTT